GCAATTTTAGTGGTCATGTTATACTAGAATAAGACTTTGGAAACTTGAGGCTGATATTACCCAAGGGTCATTTGTTGAATCTGGGGCTCTGTGGAATGCGAGGGAGTTGGGATTAGCCTTCTAAAAAAGCAGAATGAAATCTCTGGCGATTTTACATAGTTTAGGAAGCCAGCCTTACAGGAGAGGAGGACAGCCTGAATCTCACTGCCAATTTCCTCCTCAAAATATTTGCCAGATTTTGAAGCCATATTGGTAAGAAGTTGGAAAGCTGAGCTGGAAATCCGATATTCAGAGCTTAATCTTCTGTAGAATTTAGAGACTGATGAGATAGATACTTGCTAATTTCTTTTTCTAAAACAAAGGAGGTATATGCTAGAACAACAGTGCTGACTTGGGAGTAGAGAGATCCAAACTAAATCTCTAAGCCAATCTGGAGATAGTTTATCCTTGGATTTAATTGATAGAATTAGCAACTCAAATTATAGCCTAACAAAGAAAAAGAGAAATCCTCTGGTGGAATATAACATGATACGGAGTCCTTGATTGTTTTTTTTTTTTTAAATATACAGTGTTTGTCCTGTGATCAAATATCTATAATAATCAGATAGTTACAAAAATGTGATTACCAGTGGGAAAAAAATAAACAATAAATAAAAAAAAAACAAAAAATTTACAACAGTAAAGACACAGGTAATAGAAATGTTATAGTTAGCAGTCAATGACTTTGAAATAAATGTTTAAATATATTTAAGAAATATGTTTGAAATTTCTTCAAGAAAATGGAGAAAAAGTTGTACAAAATAAATGAGAGTATAAAAGTATCATTAGATGTTTATTGATGGAATGAATCAAATTGATAATCCGCAAGTAAAAAAATCTAAAATTATCAAGTAAATAGATGAGTTTATTTACTTGTTTATCAGTAGATTGTGAAATTGCCTCTGTAAACTTTATAAACTGAGGGAGGAAGGAAGGGAGATAAATGAAAATAAGCCAAGCACACTCACCATTAATTATTAGGTCAGCTTGCCCTTGGACCCACTTCCTGATAGTTGTTTTCCTACTGTCCCAGAAGCATGAAAACCTTGTTACAAGGTTATAGATCATCTTAACTGCCCTATAGACAACAACTTGAACATTGTGAAATGTAAAGTTTTCCATTTCAGATATTCTTTCAGGTTCTGCATACCAGCGAAACTATTGAAATAAGCTGGTCTGAAGGATTCCATGAGAAGCTGACTCACCAAAGAATGCAGTTTCCACATGCTGAAGATTTTATCCCCTTTACCCTGATCGATCAGTGACCCCAATTTTCCAGCCCCTCACCCTACACAATCCCCTTAAAAATCCGAGCCCAGATCTCCTCAGGGACATGGAGTTGAGGGTCTCCTCCCATTTCCTTGCTTAGGTGCCCTTGGATACTTAAACTCTTTCTTTGCTGTAAACTCTGCTGTCTCAGTGTATTGGTGTGTTACTACACAGCAGACGTAGGAAATTGTTGGTCCTGTAACAACTGGGTGCATGAGAAGACAAGATTAGTAAAGTGAAAAAGTGAAAAATAAAGAACATAACTGAATAGAAGCACAGAGAGTAAAAAGCGCGGAAACCACAGGGCAGAGTTAAAGTATCAGACATTACATAATTCTAGTGTTAGAATAATGTAACATACATCTTCTATGTATACATCTAATACTAGAATAATGTAACATACATCTTACTGATGTGCCAGGAAAAAAAAAGAGAATAAATCATAAATAATACTGAGGAGTTTACATCCAAGAATTTCTCCAAACCATTGAAAGATATCAACCTTTATATCCAAAGCTCAGGAAACCCAGAGTATTTAAAAAAGATAACCACACCTGGATATAAAGTGATTAAATCAATGAAAACCAAAGACAGAGAAAAATCTTAAAAACAGTCTGAAGACAAGCTGTATTTCTATTAAAGAAACAAAAATTATTAATTTCTCAAGAGAAACACTGAAAACCAAAAGATAATATAATGACATTGCTAGGTGTTGAAAGAAAATAATGACCAAATTATAATTTAATATACTGTCAAGTTATCTTTCAAAACTGCAGGTGAAATAAAGCAGTTTCAGACAAACAAAAATGAAGAGAGTTTATCAGCATTCAGCTTGAACTAAAGAAAATAAATGAAGGGATTTTTTTTAGGCAAAAAAAAAAAAAATGTTCAAAGCACAGAAGAGCAGGAGAGAATAAAGAACAAAATGAGAGTAAATTCCTGTAATCCCAGCACTTTGGGAGGCTGAGGCAGGCAGATCACCTGAGGTCAGGAGTTCGAGATCAGCCTGGCCAACATGGTAAAACCCCATCTCTACTGAAAATACAAAAATTAGTTGGGCATGGTGGCACACACTTGTAGTTCCAGCTATTTGGGAGGCCAAGACAGGAGAATCACTTGAACCTGGGAGGCAGAGGTTGCAGTGAGCAGAGATCACGCCACTGCACTCCTGCCTAGGTGATAGAGCAAGACTCCATCTCAAAAAAAAAAAAAAAAAAGTAAATATGTTGGTTGATATAAATGAATATTAACTATAAAATATTACTGATATGCCTAAATTATATGTAGAATTTAAATGGCTGACAACTATAATGCAAGAGGTCACAGTTTGGGAAAATAAGACTTACAGCTTCTGAGTTTTTAGCTGTATCAAGAAATTGGCAGCTTTCTTTGCCATTGTCTCTGTGATTCTTCTAAATATCCATTATTGTTTTCTCACTGTCTGCCCAATGCCTTTTAGGTGATACTCGATGACTCTTAATCCCATTGCAATAGATGAACTTGCTTTCTATTAATAAAGATTATTTTGCTGCTTCCACTTTTATAGCTACAATTAAATTAAAGACTATGTATAGTTTGAATATGTCCCCAAAAAGCATGCATTGGAAACTTAATTCCTAATGCAACAGTGTTAAGAGGTAGGGCCTAATGAGAATCAATTATGTCACGAAGCCAGAATGAATGGATCAAGGCCATTATTGCAAGAGTGGGTTTGTTATAAAAAAGGGGAGTTCAATCTCTTTTGGCTTTCTCTCTTCCCTATCTTTGCCCTTGTACCATGAGATGATACAGTGAGAAAGTGTTTGCAAAAATGCCAACACCTTTTTATTGAACTTGCCAGCTTCCAGAACTGTGAAGCAATACATTTTTTTCATTATAAATTACTCAGCCTGTAGTCTTCTGTTATAGTTACAAAAAACAGACTGAGACAGATTATTACAAAAAAAAAAATCTGTTTTTCTTCAGAAATGGCATATGGTAGACATGCATTATTTATACTGCAGTAACTTATGATGTGCCATTGCATTGTAAACTCTTAGCAGGTTCTTTTTCTTTATTCTGTATTAAAGCCAGACACTTCCTCAATTGGTATTGGCTTTCTTGATGTAGTTTCTAGACTTTTCACTTTTTGTTTGTTTTTCTCATCTGTGTATTATGAAAATATCGATGGCTCTTGATATAGTCTTTCACAGCTTCTCAAAGTTTGGCTGAAGTATACTACTTCATATCCTCTGAAAATTGAAAGTGGTTAATCTATAACCCTGTACAGATGGTATCAACTAACGTTTAGATTGTCTTGATCCCAAAGCAAAGATCTCAGAATGGAATGGCTCTTTTGATCATGGTTCATTTAATTTGTGGATGTTCAAAAGCAATATGGTTATTTTTTCAGATAACTGAAAAATGTTGTTCTTGCATACTGAAAAAAAGTCATGGTTAGAAAACACTTTACAGAACTTACACAATAGTTAGAGGGAGATCAATGCACTATTTTCTAACGTACTTTCTTCTGCTTTTGGTTTTTCACTCTTTCTTCTTGTCTTTTAGTACCAGTGAAACAGAAAACTGGATTTAGTCTTGATTTTTTAATATAATTATTCCAATTATCCATTTTACTTCATCAAGTGTCACAGATAAAGATTTAGTATAATTTTGATCAGAAAAATAGTATTTAAAAAAACCAGGGTGTTTGAATAACTTAGTTTAAAAGTGCTTGTGTTTGCCTAAATATTCCAAATGAAGATCTTGTCTGTCTCAAATAAGCCTGATCATAAATAAAATAATGTTAAAAAATAAATATCAAACATATAAAAGGAGAAATAAAAGCAAATCACATATCCAAAACAAATATTTCAAAAATACATATCTAGCCAGAGGAAATTGTTTTAGGAAAATTATTTTATGAATTTAATTTTAATAATTTTAATATCCTTAATGTCCTTCCAGTAATGAGAAACCTATTTTCCGTATGGTTACTATTTTTTTTTATATTCAATTACATTCTTGGAGGAAAGCTTCATTTGTTGTCATTTGTGGAATAACGCAATCTCATCGTGGTGGCAGTTCAGAGTTCTGTGATTTCGACGTGACTCATTATGACACAGTTGTTTTAAAGAGTATCAAACACGATATCCCTCAATTCACTTCTCATTTATGTCTGAGCTTGGCTTAGCAATAGGCTCAGATCTGAGTATGCGATGTGAGTGTGGGTTAAGATTCAGGAAGGCTTAGATATGGAAGGGGAGTGAGACAAGGACAGAGGTGGGTAAATAAATGAGGTGGCCTCAAGGTGAGAGGTGGATTACACATGAAATCATTGACACATTTCAAAAGTGGAAAGGCAGGAGAAAATAAAATTCAATTTGCTTCATTTTAAAAATTGTAGCCGTAGAATTGTATTATCCAAAAAGCATTAAAAATTCTAAATATTTTACTGTGGTTTTATTCTGTTTTTCTGTAAAAAGATGGTATGGCCTCTCAAAACCCAACAATTTAGTAAGCATAGCATTATGACAAATAATTCTGAAAATGACAATCAAGTAATCAAGTTCTGTAAGTTTATGACCTATAAACAAATGAGAATGAGAAGTCAAATGTACTCCTTGTTTTCGCTTGCTCTTACAATGTAATCTGAATTTCAGGAGTAACTTCTGAATGTATTTATATCAGGCAGATGGTTCTGTTGCCTACTATTAGTTTGAAAAGAATAGAAGAAGGTATAGATAGGTGACTGGAGAAGGAAAACACTACTAAGCAGACATTAATAGAACGCAGATTTTTAAAGCCAAATCAGTTTTGAAAATGTGTACATAAAACTGTGCAAAAGAATTTCTCTAGTTTTTTCCTGTATTATTTAATGGTTGAAGCCTGTAGACTTTTAATTTAATTTAATTTTTTTTTTTTTTCCTGAGACAGAGTCTTGCTCCATCGCCCAGGCTGGAGTGCAGTGGCACAATCTCGGCTCACTGCAAGCTCCGCCTCCCGGGTTCACGTCATTCTCCTGCCTCAGTCTCCTGAGTAGCCGGGACTACAGGCGCCCGCCACCACCCCCGGCTAATTTTTTGTATTTTTAGTTGAGAAGGGGTTTCACCGTGTTAGCCAGGATGGTCTCAATCTCCTGACCTCCTGATCCACCCGCCTCGGCCTCCCAAAGTGCTGGGATTACAGGCGTGAGCCACCGCCCTGGGCTGTAGACTTTTTTTTTTTCCTATGTTTTAACGGTAAAAATATACCACTTCAAAACTTTCAGTGACAATTCCAACTGGATTAGCCAAACCATATGGAATAACGTTTTTTGTTTTCTTTTGTTTTTGTTTTTAACAAAACCGTGCAGTTTGTTTTGAAGAAAATATGGTTATCATTAATGTTATTTTTTATTTTCTTTCAATCTCCTATCTGATTCAAGTAATGAATTTTAAGTTTCTGTTTAGTAAGTTTATTGCAAATATGCCAGAATTTGACATCTGCAATTCTTAGTATATGTTATGTTAAGAAAAACAAAATGTTATTTTAATTAGGTATGATTTCAGCCTCATAAACAAAATCATGAAGTACTGTTTTCCTTTTGCTTCCCAGGAATAGATGTTCATCCAGACCGTAGTTCTCAAATAGGTAAGCATATTAGAACTGGCGTTCACTTGGGAAACTTCTATAAATTGTAAATCCTTCCTTTCTCTCTTCAACACTCTTTCCAAGTTTCTTCCAGGTATTTTGCTATATCTTATGTTAAGCACAATTGCCAGCCATTGCCGTATATTCTGCAGCTACAAGGTCCGTGGACTACTACAAAGACTTTTAGTTTCTTTCAATTCTGATAAGAAAATAAATGACATGATACAGTGGGATAAGTGCTATGATGGGTAAAATGAACTTTATGAAGACAGTCTCTCAAACAAATTTATGCGATAAGGCAACTTATCAGAGGAAGTGAAATCTAAGTTGAGGGTTGAAAGATGACTATAACTAGTTATAAAAGGGGATTTTATGTGTGAGGGTGTATGTATTTAGGAGTGTGGTTTGAGTTTGAAGATTGTTGTAAAGAACATTTTAAGCAAATGTGTATTCTAAGAATATGCAAAAGTATGAAAGAAAGAGTCAGGATATATTGAATACATTATTGTAGTTTCAAAAAATGGTGCATGATTAATGAAGTGAGAGAAGATATTTAGGAGATTGAGGCTGATTATAAAGAGCTGGAGGAAGGAGTTCACCCTTTATCCTGAGAAGATAAAGTGAAAACTTTAAATAACAGACATCATATTTGTGATTTTGAAAAAATTATTGATAACAGAGAAGCAAGAGGCTGGAGGCAATTAGACAGTAATGTAGTGTCTTAGTCAATTTGTGCTGTGATAACAAAATGCCTGAAAGTTAGTAGTTCATAAAGAGCAGAAAATTATTTTCTCGCCATGCTGGAGTCTGCAAAGTTCAAGATCAAGGTGCCAACAAATTCAGTCTGGTGAGAGCTGCTCTCTGCTTCCAAGGTGCCTTGTTGCTGTGTTCTCACATGGTGGAAGGTGGAAGAGCAAGCTAGCTGAACACTGTGTAAAGTCTGTTTCTTTTATAAGATCTTTAATCTCATTCCTGAGGAAGGAGCCCTCGAGGCCTAATCAACTCTTACAGTCCCCACTTCTCAATACTTTCACATTGGCAACACCTGAATTTTGGAGAAGGCACATTCAAACCATAGCATGTAGTAATCCAGGTGATAAATTATAGTAAAAAAAAATCATGAGAGTGTTAATGAAGAAAAGATTATGGAAACAAAATATTGAGTCCATATTTGTCTCATCTGGATGTGTGGAACATTTTAATAAGGTATTTTAGATATATTTTTACTCTGTCTACCACCCAGAAAATTTTCCTGAACAGTTTATAACATGAAGTATCTTGCTTCATGTGATACTTATAATTTATATATTTTAATAAATTATTTCAATAAAAATATTCATGTGTTTTTCTTTAAGAAAACACCTCTCATATTCCTTAACCCTCTCTAAGTACTTCCCATGTTCTGTTCCCTTCAAAGGCAGATGTCTCAAAATTTACACTACCGTACTTGTCTGACTTTTATTTACTTGTTAATCTACTCTTGGATTCTGCTCCCAATACTTCCCTTGCCAAGGCCCATAATGACATCTACATTGGAATAGTCAGTGGATGTACTTCTGTCATCATTTGATCACTCTGTTCTGGAAACATTTGCTTCCCTTGAAACTACGACCTTGTTTTTTTACCCATCTCTTTTGCTTCTCTGTCTCAATCTCTTGTCCTAGATGCTCCTCTTCTTACTAATCTCCAGCTACTGAAGTTCTTCAGGGCATGCATATCTCTTCTTTCTTCTAATTTGTCTTCTAATCTAATTAATTTTATAATTCCAAAAAGTATCAGTGTGGCAATACATGAACAGATTATAGCTATTCTAGTTAAATTTTCTTATTTGAATTGTAAAATCTTGTGTTCAAAAACTTATTTGATATATCCATTTGATTGGTTATAAAGATCCCAAGAGTTTACAGAGGCACTAATCCTATTTATGAGGGCCCCTTCGCTATGATTTACTCACCTTCGAAATGTCCCACCTCTTAATACTATCACATTGGGGATTGGATTTCAATATATGAATTTTAGAAGGACACAAACATTCGGATTATAGCAAGAAACAATAGTATTCTACTAAGCAGGTAACAGCTCATATATACCTCAGTTTATGACTTAATATAGATGTAGTAGTTTTTCAGAAATTTGTCTTTGGATAAGAAGTTAAATCTTATGTTTTGGGTGACCATTGCTAAAAATAAATTCCAAGTACTTTCTAAATTAGGAGGGATAATTCTCCTTTGAATTATATACTCCATTAAAACACTTTAGAGCTGAAAAAATAAAAGAAATTTATAACAATGAGTTTTTCTAGATCACCCAGGCATAAATAAAGGATACTCAGCTATAAAAATGGCTAAACAAGGACTTGATGATTTTTCATAATTGATGTATGCTACTTGTATTTTCATTACTTCATACGCTACTTGTAATTTCAGGAATGCTGTGTTCTAAGAGAATAAATTTTGCTTTAAAAGATACGAGAATATGATTGGGTGCAGTGGCTCACGCCTGTAATCTCAGCACTTTGGGAAGCCTAGGTAGGAGGATAATTTGAGCCCAGGAATTCAAGACTAGACTAGGCAACATGGTGAAACTCTGTCTGTGCAAAAATACTTGGTGACATGTGCCTTTAGTCCCAGCCACTCAGGAGGCTCACTTGAACCCTGGGAGAATCACTTGAACCCTGGGAGGTTGCAGTTGCAGAGAGCCGAGATTATGCCACAGTACCCCAGTCTGGGTGATAGAGTGAGACTCTGTCCCAGCCCAAACAAAGAAAAAAAAGATAAGAGAGTAAGAAATTAAAATAAAAGCTTTTATGACTTACATTTCCTTCCCTGGATCAAGGAAAACTGTTTAAAAAAGCAGGGTAGGCAGATACAAGGAACGTTAGGTGAAGAGGCTATTGCTGCATAGGAGGGGAACACATCTACGGTGACAGATGAGGTGGCAGCTACATTTCACCTCTTGAGAGAATATCTGAACTATTATCAACCCACTTGATACCTAAGAACTCAGTTTTACCTAACCATATGTGTTAAAATAGTATCACACTATTAAGGTCCCCTGTTGCTCATCCAAACCTCACTATCCCCATGAAACATGGGACTCACGTAATGACTCCCCTATATTATCATGCACTGCCTCTGATGACATTAACACAGAAGTCCTCAACATGTTACAGATTGTTGTGCACTGCAGTAGCTGTTTTATGTGAGAGATCTAGGTCTTGGTAAGTTATGTGCATTCTTACCACCACGTTCTCTTGCCCAGAATGACTGGTCCGAAGAGTGAACACGTAACTGTTGGAAGATCAATTGCACTCCCTTTTTTGGCATTGACATATAAAACAATGTTTTCATCTAGGATTTGTGGACTGAGATTATCAGTAGCCATGTTCCACACCCTAGGAACACGCAGAGACAAAACAAAACAAAAATCTAACTAGAAAGAGATAAAGTCCCCAGTCCCCAGTCCCCAGTCCCAATTCCTAAATTCCTGGTGTGCAGCTCTTCCTTGATATCTGTCAGCTATTTGAGTGTATTTACTTGTATATAAACTAATAATTTTGTTGTTTTGCTCCATTTGTTATGGGTTGATTTTCTGTTGTTTGCCAGCTAATGGATCCTAATAAATACATTAATATAAAAGCTGAGAAATGCGGCTAAAAAAAGTAATGTGTCATATCCAATTAGATGATGTGAGAACATAACATTTAAATTATTTTCTTTATCTCCTATATGTCGTGACTTATAAAATTGAGAGAAATAACATACCACAATAAATTTGGAATAAGTCTGAATTCTGTGTCCAAGCACTTTGGTGTACTCTGTGCATATATATGACAATAATCTATTATTATGCTTAAGAATAGGTATTAATTGCAGTATTTGAAGAGTAAAGCTCTACAAGTTGATGAGTTATCAGTAACTTGTATTTGTAGTTGGATCTGCACCAGGAGATCAGTTTCATAATGGGGCTATCATTTTGCGAAATGCAATAACAATTAACAACACATTATTAAGAGCCAAATAATCCTTAACAAAACAAAAAAATCTGGTGTGAATGTAAAGCACTATATCCATGTGAAAGGAAAATACAGTTCTGGAGTTCTCAGAAGTGTGTTCAATCTGGGATTGATTACAGTTTCTCACTTCACCAGTATAAAGAATGAGCAGGAAGATTTGAAGTAGGAAGCGATGTGTGTGTACATGGAGTGGGCTGGTACAGTCAGGGGCTAATCATGGTTGGCTAACATGGAGAGACTTTGAAGGAGAACTGACTAAAATACAACTTGTAAACTCTTAGGCATTTTCCTGTGACTAATAACCACCACCAGATGTGTCCAGATGACAACAGCTTGAAAAGATTCTGAGACCATTTTTTTCCCCCTCTAAATGTGTTGTTTACAGCCTTATTGTCTACGAATGATTATTACAAATGGAGAGAAATTGGATGGAGTCACAATTGGAAACACTACAATTCTGATTCAGGAGAAATATTTGAAAGGCCTTTCAAAAAATTTTAAATAAATCTATTTCAGTCATTCATTAAATGTAATCCATATGAAACGTTAGGAGCCTTGCAGATACAAGGATGAGAAGAAAATGTGGCATTTTATCTAAAGTCTAAAATTTTGTAGGAAAGATGACATGATAATACAGCTTCCTGTTTGCTGAACAAACTAATTCTGGAGAGAGACGAGATTAGCTAAAATATGTGACAAAAGAGAGGTTTCACCAAAGCACTCTGTGAGATCAGAAGAGGATGAGGTGCTTTGGGCACATCCACGTGGGTACCTGGGATGATGTGAGACTTGAGAGGAGTCTTCAACATAAAGAGGAAAGAAACGTCGGAAATATTATACCAAGCTCATCTGGGAAATGGGGAGTAATACAATGTATGTCAGCATGTACAGTATTTGTCAACTCTTAGAATGATGTTAAGTTAGTATTAATTTTCCAAGGGCATTTTAAATGTCTGAATAGAAGTGTAGACCTTCTTCTATAGTT